CCCGAGCCTCTGAAATACACAGGGCCTTTAGCTGAAAACGCTTGTAGCTAATTTTGAACTACCCAAAATCTCCTGTTTCCATTAATGGAAATGTCATCCGTTTCTGCCAGTGTTAGGAAAGATTTCAGAAAATGCCCAAGGATGTTCACTGTAGCCAGGGTTATCTGGTTTCTTTCTTTCCCTTACTTCAAGTATTCTCAGGAAGATGTAAACGGCTGTGTTGGAAATGAGATGAAAGTGCACCTTAGCCATGCGCTTTGAAATGAGTATTGACATTCATTATTTTTAAATGACGTTAAGCAACAGAGAGCCTTGAAGGATGAGATCAAGAGTCTCCTTTGGTTACTACTAACAAACCAGGGATACCTGGTGCTGCAAGCAGCAGCAAAAACAATCAATGGTAGCTTAAACCATTAGAATATTAATTGTTCATTTAACAACAAGCCCAGAGTCAGGCAGTTCCAGGGAAGATTCAGAAGCTCGACAATGTCATCCAGAACCCAGCTTCTTTTTGCCTTTCCTCTCCACCATCCTCTGTTATGTTGGCCATTTGACCCTATGCGTGAAACCTCATGGTTGCAAGATGGCTGCTGAAGTGCTGGGCATCACATTTTTTTTCAAAGGAGGTAGAATGGAGAAGGAGCAGTCACAGAAAGTTTTCTTTCTAAGGGGTCTGTTTTCGGTTGGGAAGGGAAGTCTTCCAGCAGATCTACCCCTGCTTCACCTTGGTCAGACCTGGGTCACATGCCCATCCCAGCAGAGTCCTCCCTAGGGCTGGAGAAAGAAGGGCCTACCTCCCACAGGTTCAAGGGATACCCACAGCCTCTGGAATGCAAAATTGGGGTTCTGTTCACACGAAGAGGGAAGTGATGGTTGTTGGACGGGGGATGGATGAGAAGAGCCTTGCCACAGAGTTCCCATCAATGCTTTTTTAGCTGCAAGGAACAGAAATCGTACTCTGACTAGTTCAAATGAGGAAGTACTGCTTTATTATAAGACCGGGGTAGGTAGTTATTTCCCAGAGGGGACAGCCAGGAATCATTTCACAAATGAGTGAAACGAGGCGAAGGAACCGCAGGAAGAGGGAAGAACTGTGGTAGAGTATAAAGCCTCGGCCCTGGCCGGTGGAAGGGGGGCTGCTACTGAGCTCCAGCTGATTTTGTTGCACCGGGGGGGTGGGGGGGGTCCCCTGATTTTCAAGACAGGAATCTGGACTTTTATACAAAATCTCCAAATTTTGGTATGTTAGATCAAAAATGTTTCAGCGATGTGTGAGCCAAATAAAACTCACGTGCAGGCCAGTTTGGGTTGATGGGCTGCCAGTGGGAAGCCTCTGAAAGGTTAGAAAGATCTCATGTAAGTCAAGTCCAGCCTGGCCTCACACATTGGAATGGGGAACTGGAGAGCCTCCAGGGTCCGAGGCAGCCCCTCTCTGTATCTGTAGCTCTCGTTTCCACCCCTCTCTGCAGACTGGATTCCTTCTGCCTCCTCCTGGCTGCTGGATGTGCCTAACCGTGCATACGGCTTCTGCTCACCCGGCTCCGTGGCCTCATAACTCAGCTCTGCAAACATATCTGACTCAGCTGTTCAGTGTCACACTTCCAAATTCTCAGGATGAGAAGAAACTGATTGGCCAAGTTGGTTCCAGTCCTGGTCCAATTAAGTTAGGTCATGGAGGGGTGGGGTCAAGAGGTACAAACATGGTGGTTTGGGCTGCCCTGTTCAACAGGGTGGCACAGACAATTACTGCCTTGTCTGTAACCCACAGCAACATATATGTAAACTCTCAAGTCTGTTCATCATGACTCTCTATCATGGATCATGCCACGCCATGTGGTCAGTAAGCGTGGGGTAGCTACTGGGTATCAGGCATGATATTCAACACGGAGGATGCAAAAAAAGAATAAGACATGGCCCCTATGTTCACACATTCACGGTGTTGTCTGGGGAACAGGCGTAAACAGATCCTTGCGATGCAGAGTGATCTGGGCACTAACAGCGGACGCAGAGGGTTGTGGGAGGCACACAGGGTGCCAGAGCCGAAGTTCTAGGACATCCTGAAGCCCTTTCAGCTCCTTGAAGATCCAGTGATTTCCGTCAGCATTTAGTCACAGGTGGTACCTGACCGTATGCTGATTCTTTGCCATTGGAACAGCCAGGTAGATCACTAGAATCATTCTCGATTAATCGAGAATATTTGATAATGAACCACTTCAATACCCCTACCCCCACCACGCCCGAGGACACAGTGCTTTCTAACTTCATCAAGAAGAAAACACTCACAATAGCATCGCAAAGAATAACACACTTAGGAATAAATGGAACAAAACGAGCGTAAGACTTTTACAAACTACAAGACATTGCCTGGAGAAATGGAAGATTGAAATAAATGGAGAAATAGTCCATGAGCATGGATCAGGAAACTTACTGTTGTTAAGGTGTCACTCAATAGTCCCCACATTGATGTATTAATTCAACAGAATCCCTATTAAAACCCCAGCTGGCTTTTTGTGCAGAAATTGACAAGTTCATTGTAAAATTCGTAGGTAAATGCGAAGGACCCAGAATAGCCAAAAAAATTTAAAAAATCTTGAAGCAGAAGACTAAAGTTGGAAGACCCACACTTTCTGATTTTAAACTTATCACCAAGCTACAGCCATCAAGACAGAGTGGTACTAGCGTAAGGATAGACATCCAGGTCAACAGGATAGAATTGAGAGTCCAAAAATTCATACATTTATGGTCCATTGATTTTTGACAAACGTGCCAAGACAATTCAATGGGGAAAAATAACCTCTTCTAAATTCAGCAAACTGCCAAGAAGTCATTGAAAATACGGTTGGAGGTCATCTTCAGGGAAGCGACAGGAAGGTTAGGCGAAGGGAGAGTGATGAATTCTAGCCTCACCATGTCTACAGGGCCGTGTGGGTCGCAGAATTTCCCCCATGCTGCTTCTATTCTGAATTTCAGGACAGAGTTAAGAAGAAGCCCCGTTGGAAAATTTCCTACTGTTTACAGAAAGAGCAGGAGGGCCACTTTGGGTCTGAATGTGGACTTTCCCGACCCCGTAGAATTTTGCGAGTCCACTGTGTTCTGAGTCCTATAGGGTTCCTGCAGACAACTAACCTTGACCGGTGGGAGCTGCTCTCCCTGGGAAGTCTTAGATTAGATAAAGTAACCACTTTGGTCAAAAACTAAATGCTGTGTTCCATCCCGAGCACCAAGAAGTGGTCCCCCCAATCTTGTGAGAGTCCCCCAGTCTTAGTCCAAAGGCGGCAAGGAGGAGGAGAGAAGTAGTCTCTTTTCAATGTGTTTGCAGAGTGAGTTGGGGAAGAGGCCCAACCGAGTCCCTCACAACTGTGTATTTTCCCTGCCACCCAGGATTCAGTCGTGTGCAGTGGTTGAAAATGAGGCCCTGAAATCACATCATTTCTGGCCCTGAATCTCCATTCTACTCCTTCCCAGCTGTTGACCTCGTACTCTCTCTCTGCGCCTCGGTCTTCTCATCTATGAAATGGGAATAATAGCAATTGCACTGCGGGGTGGGGTGGGGTGAGGATTAAATGAGTAATACGTGCAAGACTTTAGCACAGAGCCTGGTTAGAATGCAACAAATTTTAGCTATTAGAGCTTGGCTCTCTCACTTAGCTTACGGCCAGCCACAATCATGGCAGATGCTTCGTTGAAGAAGCCATCAGGTGAGACGGCACGGGAGGGAACAGACAGTAAAGGCATGGGCGCGGCCATGGCAGGGGCCAGCCGAGGCCTCCTGACACCACATAGGGCACCACTGGTCCCAGATACATGAAGACTTCTAGGCTCTGGTCTTTCACATAAACCCAGACAGATGAAAATTCAGCCTCAGAGGCTGAGGCAGACAATTTGGGATGAAGATGCTAAAGTGCCTTCTCGGCTCATTCAAGGCTTTCCAAAATATCTGGAAGCCTGTTTGCCATCTCAGAGGGTGCCGGCCAAAAGATAAGACACATTAAATCTGTCCTGTAAACAAGGAGTATGCTTGGTGAGCGTAATTCTCTGTGAAGGGGTTCCCTGTGGGATGATCCCTCCAGTGGCCATGGGGCCACTCAGTGGGCAGCTGATGCCATTTGGGATCCTGGACATGGAATGAGCATCATATGTTGCTAGTTCAATGCCTCGCCTCTTCTTCCTCCTCCACACTCCAGTTCTACACATAACTTCCTGCAACAAAATCCATTCCAGCCTTCCCTCAAGTGTGTTCCGTGGCATTGGTGCTCTGGGCAAAAGGATTCCATAGCCAGACAGGGTTAGGAAGCCTGGATGAAACATCGGTTACGGGTCTTTGCTGCAGGACTTTGCAGAACCTTCAACATGTTAGAGTAAGTTGTCATCAAGTTACTTAACCTCAGCTGTCCTCAATTTTCTGCTTGCCTCTGATTTTCTGAGCTTCGCCAGTCCTCCTCTTTTTGCTGAGGAAGGCTGGCCCTGAGCTAACATCCATGCCCATCTTCCTCTACTTTATATGTGGGATGCCTACCGCAGCATGGCGTGCCAAGCGGTGCCATGTCTGCACCCGGGATCCGAACCAACGAACCCGGGGCCACCGAGAAGCGGAACGTGCGAACTTAACCGCTGCACCACCAGGCCAGCCCCCTAAGCTTCCTTTTCTGCTGAGGACTCATGGAATAACAGCCCCCTGCTGTTCTTCATAACATCGGGCCCCGAAAGGGTGGAGAGTCCTCAGCCATCAGTGGGGGCCCCAAATGATGCTGGATTCACCTCCAGGAATTGACCTGGTGGTTTCCTCCCATCTTGTGCTTCTTTTTTTTTGTTTTTCTCCCCAAATCCCCTCCCGTAGGCAGTTGTATACTTTTAGTAGTGGGTCCCTCTAGTTGTGACATGTGGGATGCCGCCTCATCATGGCCTGATGAGCGGTGCCATGTCGGCGCCCAGGATCCAAACCAGTGAAACCCTGGGCCACCGAAGTAGAGCGTGCGAACTTAACCACTCGGCCACGGGGCTGGCCCCCCATCTCGTGCTTTTAATGGAAATGAGTGGCTGCGGGAGGTGGGGCAGTGAGTGATGGCTGAGAGAGGAGCACACTGATCAGCTGGCCCAGGGCAGCGGGAGGAGTCCTTGTCCGGGAGGCTGTGGCCACTGATGTCTTCAGAGGTGGGATGGTGGCATCCTGAGCAACTTCCTTTCTTCCAGGACTTCCCCAAAGAGCTTGGCTGCCTCCAGGGCACAGCCCCAGTGGATGGTGAGCCCATAGCCTCCATGGCCATAGTTGTGGATGAGCTGGGAGAGGCGGGAGAGAAGGTACAGGTCTGCCCTGGAGGACTGAGGGGCAAAGCCAGGCGGCACCCAGCTCCTCCCAGCAACCCGGTGGGACGGCAGGACCCCGGGAACAGCACGAAGGGGGACTGTTTGAGGAGCCAAAGGATGCCATCCTAGACTCCTCTTCTGCTTAGGAGAGGGCCCTGCTGTATGCACTGAGCACAGGAAAAGTAGAACCATCTAGAACTTGAGGTCAGAGACTCCCCCGGCATCAAATTGTTGGAAGTTCTCTAAATCATCTTCCTCTTTCCCACCCGGCTCCGGACTGATGAACCTCTGCATTAAAAGAGTCTTCTACCCACCTCGGGATGGAAGAAAAGCAGGGCATGGTCTGGGTGGACTCTGGATAACGTGTTAATTCATCCCGGGGACAGAGGCGAGACCCCCAGGCCCTTTTCAAAGCTAAAGTCATCAGCAGGAGTTACACTCCATATATGACTCTCCCTTCTACACTTACACACACACACACATGACCTCTCTACACACAACCCTCTACATACACACAGATGTGCGTGCACACGCGTGCGCGCCCACACACACTCCATGCCTGGGATAAGGGAGGAAGGGAGACCTAGTTAGGGAGATGGCTCTCCTGGCGCGAGCCCAGCCACCACCTACTCAGGTCAGTTCCTTCAGCCCAGGACAACCCCTGCTGTTTCAGTTCCCACCCCAGGAGAGGGGACCCCAGAGAGAGGATGGGCAGCCACAAAACGGACCTCTGGAAGTGACTCTGGAGTCCAAATCAAACCGCATCCCTGCCTTGCCCCTCACCAGTGGTCTGATTTAGGCAAGTGACGTCACCTCTTGGAGCCCCAGTTTGCTCATCCGAAGCATGGGGAGAAGAGTTCTTATCCCGGAGAGCCATAGGGGAGATTCAACAAGGCCGTTCGAGTCATGGGCACAAAGTCTATGTTCAATAAGTACCCATTTCCTTCTACTCGACCACAGGCTTTAGCAAACCTCTCTGTAACCGCCCTCTGTGTAACCTTGAGCAGGTCCTTCACCATCACTGAGCCTCAGTTTCCCCGCTTAGAGGAGGGGTTATTAGCCACCACTGCTCCCGCCTGCCAGGAGGCTGTGTGGAGCTGGAGGTCAGGTAAGACTCTCCCCAGGAAATGCGGGCGCCCTCTTAGGAACGGGGGAGGGCATCGCTTTCCTTGCCAGGAGAGCATACCTCTGTGTTGGACGGTCCAAAGCGAAGCCGTTCTCTCTCTAGCCGAACCTGGGGGCGTACTGGTCGGAAGCCAGTGCATTCACTAACAATTTCTGCCTTCTGGAAAGAAAAGTGTTAGTAATTCATCTCGGCATTTTTTTTTTTGCTGCTGCCATTTTTAGGTGATATAGAGTCGGCTTCAGGAAGCTCATTCCATGACCACCGCCACTAACACCATCCCTGTCACTCTTATTAATCACCATGACCATCATCCCCACCTTTATCAGTCACCAACATCATCACCATCACCGCCACCACCTCACCACCAGTTCTATCAACCGCCCCATCTTCATCAACCATCAGCTACCACCATGATACTATCAACAGTCACCACCTCATCACCATCATTTTCACCACCCTCAGTGTTTTCATCTCCATCTACACCAATCATTACTTCTACTCTCTGATGGAGGAGGTCATCAAGAAGATGCAATCCCCAGTTTGACCCATGAGCTGGACCGGGGCAATTGGAGGCTCCTCGTTCCCTCCCCTGTCCTTGGAATGTGCATTCTGCTTGCCTTCCCTGCCTGCCGAAGCTGCCCCAAGGATACAGCCTTGAGATGGTAATGTGGTGACGAGACCGTCTGGACCGTGTATGTGACTGAACCCAGTTAAGGCTCCATACAAACTTTTAAGATTCTGGTGGGCAGGTGCAGAGATCTACTCATCTTGCAGTCACCCCAGACAAGCCTTGCTAAGTTCCCTTGCTTATTACAACTGCTCCCCACCAATCTGGAGTGGTCTGCTCTATCTTGTTCTCTCCATGCCCCTCACGTGCAGGGGGCCAGTTTCAGATCACACCCAGGAAGTTCCTATGGAGGTTGTAAACAAACACCCCCACCTTCATCACCATCACTATGCTCGTTGCCACTAGCAGGCAAGGGTGAGAACTGAGATTTCTGCAACAAATACATCTGCTCCTTGTGAAGACAGACTAAGTCGTTTGGGGGATGTCACCTCAAGAGAGAGCAACTCTTAGGCATGGCCATGTAAGTTTCATTAGCCCACAGCAGGACTTCCCTGTGTGGTATCAAATTCTGGTGTATTCTACAGACCCTTGCTGGAATGAATTTGCCTAATTGTCCCAGTAGTGGTATCTTCCCATCCTCAAAGGCCTTCATGATCAAGCTGCCAGGACCCCGGTCTAAGGCATGGATACCCCTCCCCATCTTACCTTCAGTGTGGGCTCCAGTCTGCAGCAGCCTTCCCAAATGCTCTTGTGGTCCTGGATATTGTTTACTTCACTCCAGTTCCCCAGCTGGAAGATGCCTCCAAGAGTCACTTCCCGGATCCTAGATAAAAGTGCGGAGGGTCAAGGATGAAGGCAAACGAAGGCTTTGAGATGAATACGGGTCATCTCCATGCTCACCCTTACCACCATGTCTACCTAAATCACTACTACCATTAACGTTGTCATCCCTGCTAACAATTCCATCAACACCACTACAATTGCCCTGTCAACATCAACCACCATCTCTACCGCCATCATTAACATCACTGCTAACATTGTCATCTCTTGTAATGTACAGCATGGTGACCATAGTTAACAATACTGTATTATATACTTGAAAGTTGCTAAGAGAGTAGACCTTAAACGTTCTCACCACACACACAAAAGTTATAATTATGTGAGTTAACGGATATGTTAACTAATCTTATTTTGGTAATTGTTTCGGAATATATGCATATATCAAATCTTCATGTTGTACATCTTAAATGTACACAATGTTATACATCAATCATATCTCAATAAAGCTGGAAATACATTGTCATCTCCATCAACAATATCATCTTCACTACTGCCTCCCTTGCTACCATTAATATGTCATCACCATCAACCTTATTCACTATTTCCATAACCACCATTAACATCACCATTGATATTGTCATCTCCACCATGCCACTAGCATCGCCATCAAGGTAGTCAGCACAGGCACACTATTAACATTGCCTTTGAGACTGTCCTCTCTGCCACACTATTAACATTGTCATTGATAGTGTCATCTTCATCAGCATCAACTACCGCCTCACTCCCAATCACCACCATCATCAACATTGATCTCCTCATCAACACCACACCACTCCCATTAATGTCACCACTATACCATCTTTGTCCCAATCACCACCCCTATCAACGGTGACTTCCCCATCAATGACAATACTATCTCTACTACCACCATTCTACTGTCAACAATATTGTCATCTCATCAACACGGCCACAATCTTCACTAATATCATCACCTCTACCATTAATAGCATCATCACCACCAACCAAATCACTACTCCCATTATTGCCATTCACATCACTTGTACTGTCACTGCCATCACATCCACTACCTTTGTCTCCAGTTATCACCACAACTGTCATCAAAAACATGCTCAAGATAGAGCCCAATCCAGGCTGAGTCCTGTCTTCCCATTTAATGGCTCAATCTCACTTGAAAAACAAAGAAAAAACCTGCAGGGACTAAGCCAGAGGTCTGGGGTAGGCAGCATAGGCATGAAGAGGATAGGAAAGACCCCCTCTTCTGCCCTGGGATGTCGGGTTTTTACCCTGGGATGATGTATGGGGACCTGTAGATGCCTCTCTCTGGGTCGTGGGTGACAATGAAGTGCTTCATCCAGGGGGCATCCACCTGTTGATGGAGGACGGAGACGTCTCGTCAGGGGAGTTGGACCAGCGGGCTCCTCTACCCTCAGATGTTCTGACAAGAGGGGCCAGGCTGATTCCTTAGCCCTCCCATGACCCCTCGGTCCAATCTGCACCTGACTGCTTGGTCTGATGGGGAGCCACCCCTGCTCCCTAAAGCATTGCACATTCTCACCCACGTGTCCAGCACACGTGTAAACACTCATACACATCAGCCCACATCAGGAACACACATGACCACCCATACGTGCTTATGAATGCACATACGTACACACACATACGCACACACACACACACGTGCCCACGAATAGGCATGCTTCACTCACATGCACACGTGCACAGTGGGAGGTGGCACGGAACAAGGCTTACACACCTAGGCTCGTAAACCAGGTTTCCCGGGTTCTAATCCCAATTCCCCCACTTACTACTGTGTCAACTTGTGCATTTTACCTAATTCCTCCATGCCTCAGTTTCCCCATCTGTAAAGGGCAATGGTGATATGACAGACCTCATCTCAAAGGGTTGTGGTAAGGATTAAACTAATCAACATAATAAAGTGCTCAGGCCTGTCCTGGCATTTGGTAAACACTCCATGAAGGTTTGTCCTTTTCATTACAACCTGGCGTATGCAGCTCCCACGTATGCTCACACAGATACACACTTGCTTGGCTATGAAGAAAAACCCCAAAAGAGAATGTTTGGGAGGGTCGTGCTGGTCCTCGTTCCTCTAACATGTCAATTCCCTGAAGTCTGGGGGGTTTTTCTAAGGGATGTCCCCAGCATGTCCTATGTCTTTAGAGATGAAATAAGCAGGCAGCTACACTCTTCCTATCAACAAAAGCAAGAGGTCTCCCCCCGTCACCTTCACACTCACCTTAATGATCTGCCCCCGGCCGGGCTGCAGCATGGGGTCTGGTTGCAGCTCCCCGGCCCGCACCCCGGTGCAGTTGATAATCACGTCTGCGCCTCCTCTTGCCACCTGGCAGCAACCAGCAGAGCAGGTGGGGCGGGAGGGGGTGAGGACCCTGGTATGCCCCTCCCTACCCCTCTGCCCATCCTGCAGCTCTCTGCTCCCGGTGGAACAGCAGGGAGAGGACTCAATGTGGAATCCATGAGCCTGGTTCCAAACCTCTGTGTGACCTCAGAAATGTCCTGTCACCTCCTCAAGGCTCAGCTGCCTTAGCTGTAAGGTGAGGCTGGTAACATCTGTTCATAGACTGCCGTGAGGCTCCAAAGTACTCCGGATATAAAAGTACTTGGAAAGGAGTACCATGGGAGGGGGGAATCTTCTTGGAACCTTCCAGAAGAAGTCAGAAAGGCCACAGAGATAGTTCTCTTCCACCTTCTGACTCCTTTTTATTCCATTCTCTTGCTTTCTGCTCTGCCAAGACACCTGCAGAAGGCACGTTGGAGCCCCTAGCTCCGTGCACGTAGGACACTCGACAGCTCAAGGATGTAGCGGGATGGGCACCCGAGCTCCCAGCCCAGCTTCAGTGACTCCCCTCACAGGTCAGTCATGGGCCACACCCCTCACAAGGCATCACTATTGTTCACGAGACAGGGTTTGCTACACTGGACCATGAGCTCCTTGGGAATGAGGGCTGTGCCTGAGTCAACCATGTCACCCAAGTGCCCATCAGGGCTTGACCCAGAGCAGATGCTCCTTATGTATGTTAGTAGCTGCATGTACCGAGAGCCTTCCACGTGCCAAACGCCATTCCAGGTGCTGCAGCTGAGTGAAGTCACACAGCAAAGCTCCTGGTACATAGCCGGTGCGCGGTGATGGGAGCTGCTACTGTCACTGTTGTTGATGGTGGTGTCACCCTGGAGGTGAGTCGGCCGAGGGCCGAGACTTTGTAGAAGCACCAACCCAGATGTCAGTAGGAAGCAGCCAAGTGTCTGGAACTTGGGTTGGGATGCAGCCGATACTGGGAAGGGGCAGTCACTCTCTGGCCCTGAAACTCACTGAGGCTCAGATATAGATTAGCCCCTAACAGCCACTATGATGCCACTGTCCCTTTGCTCCTGCCACCAACATGAAGGCAGAACGAGTCCTTCTGGGACTGAGAAAAAGCCTCAAGTCTGGGATAGGCTTCAGTGGGATTCCAGAAGGTTGAGAAGGGGACCCCAACCCAGAAACAGGAAGCAGAGCCCTACTTCTTGCTCCCACATCCAGCCCCTTCCAGCCCTGAAAGCTCACCTCCTCCAAAGACTCCACCTTCCTCTGGGAGAATTTCACTCCCCGCTCAGTTAACCTAGGATGATCAGACACATCAAAGAGCAGTATTCAGTTCTCTATCCCACTCCTCCAAAGAGGATGGCAGGAGGGACGTTTCCCAAAGAAACTTCTGTGGACCTTAGTCCCACAGGATGCTCCTTGAGAAATGGCCGTGTAGTCATATCAGTTCATGAGCACCCTGCTGGACTAGTGGTCTGTGAATTGTCCCTTGGTAAACCTGAGATGGTCCAAGCCCCTCGTCAGGCAAATGGGGATGCTGAAGGTCATACGGTGAGTCAAGGATGGGACTGGGACTCAAACCCAGGTCTCTTAGTTCAAAACGCTTCCTACTACCACCACATTGCTTTGTATCATCAAAAGGGATGAGATGTGGGGTAAAAGAGGGGCAGAGTTGGACAAATGATAAGTGGCCCTTTGTCAGAAGCAGAGCATGAGAATGGAGGTGGGCTGGGGGTACCCTCCCCTCCCTCTAAATGTTCCGGAGGAAAAATATCTGTTACTACTAGAAATATAGTAAAGGGGGCCAGCCCTGTAGCTGAGTGGTTAAGTTCGTGCACTCTGCTTCAGCGGCCCAGGATTTTGCTGGTTCGGATCCTGGGCACAGATATGGCACCGCTCATCAACCATGCTGAGGCGGCATCCCACATAGCAGAGCCACAGGGGCCCACAACTAAAATATACAACTAGGTACTGGGGGGCTTTGGGGAGAGGAAGAAGAAAAGAAGATTGGCAACAGATGTTAGCTCAGGCGCCAACCTTAAGGGAAAAAAAAGAAATATAGTAGAAATATCAAAAGAACAGGAATAAACCATATGAAGGCTGAAGCACAGCCTCAGGAGTATTTTATCTACATAGTTTCCTCAATAAAGAAAAAAACGGGAGCATTCTTTTCTGGAAGAGCCTGGACAGGAGTCATAAGTGTCCCAAAGTTAGGAGAAATAATCACGTTTTAGTACAACGGTTTCCAAACCTGGCTAATAATTAGAATCACCCGCATACTTCTTAAAATACAAATTTCTGAGCCCCACCCCAGAGGATCTGATTCAGTAGATATAAAGTGGTGTCTTGAAATCTATGTTTTTAAAAACCTCCCCAGGTCATTCAGTAAAAGCCACCATCCATTCCAGATTTTTAAAAAATCTTAATAAATTAGTAGCATACAGAAAATGTATAGAATCTTCCTTAATATGAATGTATCTGAATATAAATACAATTGTATCTCTCAAGCTAATTTTGCTAATTTAGAACACTATAAGATTCCTATTAATGTCAATAACAAGACAAGGACGTCCAATATCACCTGTGTTAATTAACATTGTTCTGGAGATACTGGCCACAGCAGTTAGACAAGAAAAAAACTGAGGTATAAAAATAAAAGGCAACTTATGTTTTGTAGATGATGTAAATATATCTGGAAAACTTAAGAGAATCCATTTTAAACTATTACACAAACATTACAGATTTCAGTGAGGTCAATAGTAAATATTACATGTAAAAAGTTACCCAGGTGGTTCTGATGCCCAACCAGGTGTGGGAACCATTGTCTTGGTGCAGAGAAGTGATCAGGCCCAAGGATAGCTCCCACTGAGCCAAAAGGTTTTTGTCAGCATTTGGGGTTGGTCAACACAAAGATGAATCCCAGGAACGATCGCCTGCTACAGCTCTGGCCCCTGGGCAGTGCTTGTCTCAAACTGAAGCCGAAAATCTCACCTCTCAGTCAGCCACTGCAGATACCGCTTGCCCTCCAGGATCAGGCTCGTGTTGAACCAGCCATAGCTAGAGTGTCACGGCAGGCAAAAGGTAGGAATAAAGGATCAGAATCAGAGCTGTATTTGAAGGCTGTCAAATGGAGGCGGGAGCTGTCTCGTTCTTTGGGCCCCCAAAGGTAGAGCCAGGACCACCGGGTGAAGTTCAAGGAGGGAGAGGTTTTCAGCTCAATGCAAGGAAAAATTTTCTATCAGACAAAACCATCCCTGATACCTGGATGTGCAAGTGGAGATCGGGCATTTGTAGAGGGGATTCAGACAGGGGTTGGGTGAGGAGAGGACCAGAGGGGCATCAGGCTGAAGAGAAAGGAACAGAGGGGTTTGGAACCACACAGACTGGGTTGGAATCTCATTTTCATCACCAGGCTGTGTGATCTGAGTAAGTGACTTAGCGTCTCTGAAGCTCGGTTTCCTCATCTACAAAAGAGGATAGTGATCTGGGGCTTCTGGGCTTGAGATCTGTGATTAACATCCCCCACCTCCCTAGCTCAAGGGCCAGTTTGGGTGGGCAGCCCTTCTGAAGGAGCTGGACAGACACCAGGAGACCAGGGTACCAGTGGCTCTAGACCTGGGGTGGGACAGGAAATCTGATGCCTACACCTCCTGTTGCCTCTGGACAGGTCTGTCTGAATTGTGGGGCCTCAACCTCTTTTCGCATGATAGTAACCTTACCTATAATCAGGGAACATGTCCAGCTCTCTGGGGGTCAGCTTCCGAAATCCCAGAACTATGTCCTTCCAGGAAGGGTCCTGCAGAGGAAGGAGAGAAGCAGGCAAAGGGATGGGTGAAAGTCAATAATAATGGTAATAACAAAACTTACGTAAGGTTCACTGTGTGTAAGGAGCCGTTCCAAGCATTTTATGTATACCAGTCCATTTAATCTTCACAACAATCCAGTAAGGTATATAAAATTCTTATCCTCATTTTCCAGATGGACCAGTTGAGGCTCAGAGAAGTTAAGTAACTTATCTAAGGTCACACAGGTCATAAATGGTGGAGCTGAGATTTGAACTCACACAATTGGGCTTCACAGCCCATGTTCTTGACCATTATGCTATACCAAGGAGGACAGCAAGACTGAAGGTGAGTGACAGGATAAGGGTCATAGACAGGGGAGAAAAAAGGGGTGATAGTGAGAGTCACCAAGGGGTGAGAGTCGGAGGCAGCAGAGTATAGGGTCAGATAACCTGGGTGGAGAACCTCACCACTGACCATGTTGGATTCTCTGAGACTCAGTTTTCTCGTCTGTATAATGGACTTAATAACCACTGTGGGTCCCACGGAAGGTAACAGATCATGTAGTTAATGCCCTTAGCACGTGCGAAACATTAAATAAACCTCGGAGAGCTGGCTTGGGGTTCTGGGCACCCAGCCAGACCACCCTCTCCAAGCAACCTGAGACCATCCCCCAAGCCTGTGCCCTTCTCAACACATTGGGAGCCTTGTGGTCACAGCCTGCCTGGGTTCAAACCCCAGCTCTGCCACTTAAAGCCTTGTGAGCTCAGGTAAGCTACTCATTTCCCTGAGCCTCTATTTTCTCATCTGCAAGGAAAAATAATGATAGCATTTACTTCCAGGTTATTATGAGAATTAAATGAGTCACTGTTCATAAAGTAGTTAGGACAACGCCTGGCACATAGTAAGTGCTTTAGAAGTTGGTGCCACAATGAGCGCAGGAATCCCTCTTGCTGAAAAGCCCTGGGCCCTCCAGGGGTTCATGAAAACTTTTGGCTTCAGTGCCATGTGCCACCACTACGGGACGTGTCCGAGTTTTAATTCTCATACCAGTCAAAGGCTAGTAGTCCCCATGGCTCAGAAGATTCATTGGTCTCTACCAATTTAACAGCAAAATTGGAAACAAAAATAATTTTAAAAGCAAAAATAGAGTTTAAAGTAAACCTGTTTTGAACACAGGAGTCTGTGGCCTAAGAGGCTGCAAGTACTCCCCCAGACTCGGGGCCCCAGCCCTGGTCTGTGATCAAGGCTCGGCCCCACATCAAGGACTCGTCACTCACCGGAACAGCTTCATGGAAGAGGTTGTAGCCTGAGATCAGGGCCAGGCCCATGTCTGCAGCGTTGGGAGAATGGAGGTGGCTCAGGAGATAGTCAAAGGTCTGCTGGTTCCAATGCCTGGAAGGATCCCCCACAGTCTCGTCACCTGAGACCCCGAGCTGGACAAGAGAGCTCCGAGGGTTGGCTTGCACAGGGTGTGGTCAGGCTGGAGGTGATGTGTCCAGATCCAGAAACCCACCACATTCACTCCTGCAGCTCCTAATGCCTCCAGGTCCTCCCCTACCCTGAACTTTCCAGTGTTTCCCCATTAATAGGATAGAGAAGGGGGGGGGAGGATCAGAACCATTTGGAGCCCGCCTCCAGCTTGGGATCACCTGGCTGCTGGGTTTAAATGAAGGCTCTGATCTCCTCTTGGAACTGTGAGCCACACGGTTCAGGCTCACGCCGGGCACCTCCCCTCCCCCACTATAAATGCTAGCGGCAGGCATCAGCTTGCTGGCCCAAATGCTTTCCTCTTCTCCCTGGACGCACAGCTCAGCTACATTTCCTAGACTCCCTTGCAGCTAGTTGCAGCCGTGTGACTGCATTCAGGCCCACAGACCCTGGAGACCTGGCACACGAGGTCCCCATGCTGTTCTCAGTCCACAGGTGCTGGCCCGTGAGAATGGCAATGTCAGAAGCCACGAGGAGGACGGCAGAGCCGTGAGATGGAAGGAGCCTGGGCCTCTGAATCGCTACCCACCAATGAGGAACATTGGTTTGAGAATGACGGGAATGAGAATGAAACTTTCGCTTGAGCTGTTATCCATTTGAAGGTGTCTTTGTTGAAGGAGCTGGCAGTTTCTAAACTAACATAACGACCTTTGTAGGTCCTTAGCTAAGCCAGAGCATTGGTTCACCCGCTTAGAAGGGTTCCTGATTCACAGATGCACGTGGCACAGACAGCCCCCTGTCTAGGGGAGGAATGAAGACGAAGGCTCCCTCTGTTGGGCTCACATCACCTCTCAGCTTTTTTGTAAGATCAAGTGTAGCATCTGTCTGGCACAAGTAGGGGCTTAATATTTATGAGTATTTTCTCCACATCAGGCCAGGCCAGAGCCTCCACAAAAGGCTTGTTCTTGGTGACAGGAACCCTGAGAGGGGGCGTCCTCTCTGCAGACTCAGCGCCCCCAGCGCCCCAGCCACCCTCTGGGACCGGCACTCACGTCTCCTGCGGGTTGCTGGGGTTGGAGAGGTAGGGCTGCCAGAGGCCGGCAGCCACGTCGGTGTTGGTGAGCGGGGTGAAGCGGTCTGCGTAGACCCTCACATCCAGCGACTGCAGCACTGGCTGGTAGCGGTCGTGGATGCAGAGGGCTGTGGACAGCCCAATGACCCCTGCTCCGATCACCACTACGCGCATCGTGCCACCTGCAGGAAGGACGGGTCGAGGCGTGCCATCCTCACCATCGTCTCCATCACTATCTCCACCGTCTCCACCGCCCACTGAAGGCTTAGAAAGTGTCATACCCCTCCCAGCCCTTTTATCCTTGATCCTCTCGAGGGCCCTCACAAAGCGAAAGACTGACACATGGAGAGGCAGAGCAACACGCTCACGGTCACACAGCGGGTAAGGGCTCCCCACCCCAGTATCCTGTCTCCAGACTGGGAATAGAAAAAGGGCCTAGCAGAGGCCCTGGTCAGCTGTGGGCTGGAGAGTCTAGCGGTTAGGACAATGGGCTCTGGCTTCAAATCTCAAATCGCACCTCTGCCTCCTACTGGCCGTTGACCTTGGTCAAGATGCTTCATGAGCCTCAACTTCTTCTTCTGGAAAATGGGAAAAATAACTCATGCCTCGGAGAGTAGATGGGAGATTGAATAAGATGGCAAATGTAAAGAGCTTAACACAGTGTCTAGTGTAAAAAAAGTGATTTACTGACATTTCTGGAGCCCCTCCTACGTGCCAGCCCCACAGTGCTAAGATGCATCATTTCATCTAAGTCTCCCACCGTTGCTATGACGTAGGGACTGGTGTTATTGGCCCCATTTTACAGATGGGGCTCAGAGAGCTGAAGTAACTTACCCATGGTCACACAGCCAGTAAGTGGTACTGCTTGGACTTAATTTCAATTCAAGTACACTCGACACTCACTTATTGCACACCTACTGTGTGCCAAGCTGGCAGCTAGCAGATGCAGCTGTGAGCACATTAGATGCAACGTCTGGCCTCAGAACTCTGGTCTTCCAGCGTACCCCCTCAGGGCCTGCCTTGGGGTGCTGGGCTGGCTGGTCCTCAGAAGTTTAGAAGGCCCAGCAGCTTTTGACTTTGAAGCTGCTTGGGCCCGCACAGCAGGGAAACATTCTGCCGGCTCCTGCTGAGGCAGAACAAGGGGACTTTTTGTGCCCGGAAGGGCCAAATTCAACTTTCCCTCCTCTTTCCTCATGACTCTCCTGCCGCAGCCCTCGGCTCCTGGCAACTGGGGCCCGTGGCCCTGCATGGCAGGACATTCTCAATATGGCCTAGTTTTGTGAAGGGGGAAAATGGCTCCAGCCCACAAGAACTGGACTCCGTTGGGGTTTCAGCAGCCAAGTTGGAGATGAAACTGAAAAATGGCAAGACATTTCTGGATGATTCTGCCTCCGGCCGTGAGTCCGGGCCTGGTTGCATGGGCAGACCCTCTCAGGGACCCCTGGGCTCCTCCCACCCCTCCTCCCCCATATTTGCCTCAGGAGACACAATCTCCTCATCTGTGAAATAGGAGTAACCCCAATGCCAGAGGGCCATCCCGGAGGTTAAATGACCAGCTTGGTGACAGTTCTTGATATGGTGCCTGGCACAGAGTAAGCCCTCAGTCTATAGTGGCCTCCTTCTGTCCCCCAGCACCTTGAAATAACAACGGAAAGAACATTGGATTAGAGGAGGAGAAAGGAAAAAGGGAGGGTCAGATCTGGCTTCACTTCCGGCTTGCTGTGTGACATTGGCCAAGTTACTTGCCCTCTCTGGGCCTTTGGATTGTCTGTATAACCTCTGGGGAGTTGACCACTTTCATCCATTAACAATAAGAAAGCAGAAACAGAGAGTTTTCCTATATTTTCCAAATTCCCCGTAACAAATCCGGGAGGTGGCCCAGCATGGGGAGATGGTAGCGACAGCCCATGCTGGGGCTCAGATATGCCCAGGCTCACAGCCTGGCTCTGGCACACGCCAGCTGTGTGACCGAGCGAGGGTGACCAACCTCCCTGATTTGCCAGCTCTGGGCAGGGTTCCAGCATGCGGATTTTGAGTGCTAAGACCAGGAGAGTCCTGGGCAAACCGGGATGACTTGGTCATCCTAACTGAGCCTCGGTTTCCTCTTCTGGAAACTTTTAAGGGTAAAGAAAGCTTCCTGCCTATTATCTCCCCACCGGAATATCAGCTCCAGCAGGGCAGAGACTTCTGTCTACTGCTCTATCCCCAGGCCCTAGCATAGTGCCTGGCCCACAGCAGGGACTCATGATGAAATGAATGAATGAATGAATGGAGCTCTTATGAGGCTCAAAAGAGAAAACACTCATAAAGTGCTAGGGAGCTCATAAATGACAGCAGTGATTGTCATCATCCCCCCTTTACAGATGAGGGAGCTAACACTGGAAGAAAGCAAGGTCCATTATTTGAGTCATAGCAAGAGCGCGAGGGAGGGCGAGGGTGTGACTCCAGCTCTGCCTTCTCCAGGGCCCCTGCTTTCTCCATTCTCACACCACCTAGAAAACCAGCAAAGCGTGCAGGAGAAATGGAGCTGCTTGCATGATAGAGATGTGTGAGGTGAGAGAGGGAGAGTGTTCGAAAACCCTTAGGAGGTCTCTGGGCAGGGAGAAAGAGGCTTTGGACTGAAGCAGAGCCGGCACACGGTCTCCGAGAACAGGGCTGGTCAGGTGTGGCAAAGCCTCTGGTTGGGAGCAGTGGCACCTGCCCAACAGCACAGCATGAAGGAGGACCCAGAGCAGCTTCTGGGACCAGCTGGCCGAGATAAAGAGGGACAAGTAACAGTGTGGGGCTCAGTTTCTCCAATGTATACAATTTTAGAGATAAGCTAGGTATCATCATGCAGATGGGGAAACTGAGGCCCAGAGAAGAGGAACGGCTCAGCCAAAGTCACACGTTTGTGATAAAAGGGTTTGTGGGTCTCGGGGTTACAAAGTCTCTGTGAAAGATAGAAATAGATTGAGTCACGAAAACAACTGGCAATGTGGAGGTAACAGTAACAGTGGCTAGTTTCTCAGCTCCTACTGTGTGTCAGTCGTTGTGCTGAGAACTATACAAGCATTATCTAGTTTAATCTCCTAATAACCCTTGGGCTAATCATTATGTCCATTTTACAGAGGAGGCAGCTGAGGCTTGGACACCCAGCTGGTGAGAAGCAGAGCCCAGGCCAGCTTGACTCGCCAGACCGTGTGCTTCAACACCACGCCATGCTGGCGAGTCACACGACTGGAAAAATCTGAGAGTCAAGCAGGTGAAGGGAAGCAGCCAATGTTTCAGGGTCCGTGCATTGGAAGAAACATAAAATAGACAATTGCAGGAATTTTTAGTGTGTTGGTGATCGGAATAGAACTGAAAAGGAGAAAATGTGTGTCCTAAGTCAATTATCTTAATAAACTCTTGGAATCAAACTTGATACTGATTAAAGGCACTGTGCGCATGTGTATTAAAGTGCAATATAAATGCATGCGGCTCTTATCAGCAGTGGGAGCCAGGACCGGGCAGACGCAGCCTCAGGTGAAATCATTCGCGCCTGGGGGGGAAAGAACTTCTGGACTCGTCCGCATGCAGCTCAGATATCGTCAGCTGTTTTCTCCCTGTTGCTAATGTTTTTATTTCTGTTGCAGTTTTATGCCATTACTTTAAGCAAACAGGTAGTCGTGTGCATCCAGGAAGGTGCAAACACAATCCATGACACTGATCTGCGTGTGTGTGTGTGTGTGTGTGTGTGTGATGAAAACATCTACATAAACACAGAGCAGGAAGGGAACCAACGCTCTTCACTACCTGCCACTTGCCAGGTTACACATGTCGACGCAGTACAAACCTCTTCTTACTTACCCCTCTCAGCTGTTCTAGGAGGTTCTACAGACATGGGGCTGAGGTTCAGGGAGAGGATGTCACCCTCTGAAAGTCACCCAGCCGGTGTGGGGCAGCATTCAGATCTGGATCCAGTTCTATCTGAGCTTTCTTCCCTGTGCCATAAAATGATTCAGGCAGCCGGCGATGAGCTGGCACCTGACACATATTCTGCTGGCCTTTTAGTCTTGTTTTGGTTTGCATCTAACCTCCTTTGTCCCCAGAAAAGGAATTTGAGGCAGCGTATGCCTTTGATTGCCACGGGAGCCTCTCAAAGAAGAGGAAAGCCCTGTGCTACAAGAATCAAGTCACCGGCGAGGTATTTGAATGAACAGAATCAGCTCTCCTGGCTTGCACCATATGGCTGCTTGTTATGAAGTTGATATTTTCACTGTTCGCCTTTAAAATGGAACAGATTCTATAAACACTTGACAACAAGGCTCCCAGCTCCCCATCCCCAAAATAATAAGTACCATTTATGGAGCACTTGCTGCCTGCCCAGTTCTGTGCCAAGCTCTTTACATTCATCACCTCTTTTAATACTCAGGTTAACCCCGTAGGAGGTGAGCTATGACCCCTATCTTCCAGAGGAGGAAACTGAGGCTTGGGAAGGTGAAGGTTCTTACCTGTGGTCCCTGTCCCACTCCGAGGCTGCCACCTGCCACCTGTGGAGCCTTCTCTGTTGACACTGGGAAGACGCTGAGTCCCGCTGCGCACTTCTCCCCCGACCACACACACACACTCACCTGGCGTGCCAAACTGCTGCAGAAAAGAGGCAGCTACAAAGGACGCAGGGTCCTATCTCCGGAGGGGAGCCTCCTGATTCTGGCGCGTCCTGTCCTCAGCCCTCTGCCCACCAGCCGCACTGGAGCTCAGGGTCAAAGTCTGGAGTTACAGACAGGGTACAGCGAGGGGTGGGGCTGAGGGCTGTGCTGCTCCCGGGGGCTGAACCCTGGCCAGGCCGGGAGACCTCACTTCCCCTCGCTCAGGCTCCTGAAAAGTTGCCTGACTTTTCTGGCTGAACTCAAGCCCCTGCGGACAGGCCTCAGGAGAGGGAGGGAGGCAGGGAGGGAGGTGGGGAGGGAGGGCGGGAGTTCTTGGAGGGCTGATGGGCACAAGGAGGTCCGTCTCCCGGGCCAGCTGGAGACGTTCCTTTCTTCCTCTTCCTGCTGCCACCCTGGGGGAGGGGAGGGTCATTCCCTGAACCACTGTGGGCCTGCACAGTGGGAGTGGTCAGCCTGGCAGCCCCCGAGCGGAGGCCAGAGATAAAGGACAGGGGCTCGTGGGGCCAGCTGACCTGCCTAATGCCATTCTGGGATGCTGGGTGGATGAGGCCAAGGAGAGACTCAAGGCAACGCCTGTTTAGGTCATAAGGATGCGTGGGTCTTTGCTCCCGTATCCCAGAGACACAAGCGGCAGGACTCCAGGTCCCTCTTCTGCCAGGGCTAGACCTGGAGCAGGGATTTTTCGAGCCCAAAGATCATCAGGAGCCTCACTGATGGGGAACTGAGGCCCAGAGAGAGGGACCAACCAGCCCTGGCTGAGGCATCCTTTGGGTCAGTTTTGAAGGTCCAGCCTCCACTCCCCTACCTTCAGCATCATCAAATAAAAAGGAGCAGAAGAAATAAGAAAATGCATGCAAAATACTTGGTACACAGTATCTTTCTTTAATAATAAAAAAAACGATGGCGTGAACTCCACCCTTTATGCTATATACTTCCATTACATTTGAATTTTTTTTACAATAGTCGTGCATTATTTTTACATCACACAACCTTTGTAAAATCCTTGAGCCTCGAGTTCATCAAGAGAACGGTTAAAAGTTAAAAGCTAGCTGGGTGTCTTCGTGGTCCCCCCACTCCCATCCTAGCAACGATTTCTGTTTTGTGAATTTCAATGTGCCAGTTTTAAATACTGAAATGTGTAGTTTTGATTTGCAGTTCCCTGATGATTAGTGATGATTGTCCCTGTAATTTTTTGAAATTACAAATATCCTGGATGTGTTTCTTGGCACACTTATCTAATTATCTCCTTAGGGCCAATTCCTAGAAATGGAATCATCGGGCCAAAGAGTTTACACATTTTAAATCTTGATCTGTTTTGCCAAATGGCCCCCCAGAAGGGCTCTATCGATTTGCAGATTTAAGGAGGCTTCCACCCCTCAGGTGCCCACCCTGTACTTGCACCATTCTGAGAGTAAGAGCCTCCTTAAATTTGGCACCCCTCCCCCCACTTGCCTCACCCTAGTTCTAGCCCTGCTAGAGAGACTGCAAATCTTTTCATCCGTTGAGGGATCTTTCCGTTTATTTCTTTATAAAGTGCCTACTTCGGGGAGGGGGGGGCATTTTTCTCTTGAAGTGTGTTGGCTGTTTTTCATACATCGATGCAAATACTCAATAATCGTTCTATTGTAAGAGGAAAGAGAGTTTTATTTGAGCCAAAACTGGGGACTGTAGCCCAGAAGCTGCAGCCTTTGGAAGGGGAGAAAGTGCTCCAGAGAAGAGTGATTTTCAGTACTATTATAAACCATTTCTAAACAAAGAGATACACATCAGGCACGACAGCGATACATTCTTTCAAAGGTTCAAGAAGTTAGTTACAGATTAGCACGTACACAGAGAGTGACTATGACCCTGGCATAAAGGGCAGGGAGCCTTATGTAGAGTCACAAGAAGAGAGGCGTTAATTCTTATCTTCCAAGAGTACATTCCTTACTTTAGGGTAATGATTAAAGCAGAAGTATAATGTCTGTTCCATAGGCCATAAGTCAGGCTTCTTTGATTCAGATAAAATTCAGGCCAAATTGAGTTTAAACCAGAACGGCTTTCCCATATACTTGAAAATATAAAAATTTCTTATATCATTTCTCCCTTTCGGTCAATAATCTCTCGATAGAAAGTACTGATGATCAAAATGTTGTCCCTTGATGGCAGGGAGGTTGCTTCCTGCCCTGGGTCTATCATGTCCCTTGGAGCTGGGCTTTATTTTAATTGACCTCCCCAGTTATCCACCTTGGGAGGAAACAGCCAAATATAATTGCCAATCATAGAGATATGCACTAAGAGGGGAAGTATTTTTACAGGTTATATATATTTTTTCAATTAAGTCGAATTATGTGAGCTTTTGTACAACCCTTTGTGATTACATTGTTTATAACATTTATAGAACAGATATAGTAACAATAATAAGAAACCAACCTGGGGCCGGCTTGGTGGCATAGCAGTTAAGTTCACATGCTCCACTTTGGCAGCCCAGGGTTCATGGGTTTGAACCCCGGGCACGGACCTAGCCCCGCTCATCAAGTCACACTGTGGCATCGTCCCACATAAAACAGAGGAAGATTGGCACAGATGTTAGCTCAGCGACAATCTTCCTCAAACAAAAAGAGGAAGACTGGCAACAGATGTTAGCTCAGGGCCAATCTCCCTCACCAAAAAAATAATAAGAAGAAACCAATCAATAATATTTAAAGTAACCAATGTGGAGTAGGCGTGGAGTTAAAGAGACGAGAAGAAGCCAAAGAATCTGTCACAGGTATTTTGGTAATTTTCCACTAATTTAAGTATTTGCCTCCTTTATCCACCGTTGTGTACTTTATGATAAGTTTGGGCGGACTAATTTAATAGACTAATAAGATCTTCAGTTTCCACTTGCAATGATTTTTCAGGCCAGTTAGATTCCATCTAAATTAGCATATCTAAAAGCCCTGTTGAGTTAAAATATATGCTTTTCCCCCTTGTTAGGTATGGGCCTTTTCTGTCATAATACATTCAGTTTGTTCTAATCATTTTATTAATGCTAAATTATCAGCCCAAGCAGATTTCCATCTTTTACCTTCTTCTTGGAATAATAGTCTTTCTAGTTTACCTTTTCGTATTGGATTTTTTTTTTCTCTTGAATGTCTTTCTTCATTAAAAGGCAGGCTCATCCCGTCCAAGAATACCTAGTCCTGATCCTATAGCTCCTAAGGCTCACTTTCCCTCTGGGGCCAGTGCCAATCAACCCACCAAATATGTTGTTGCCATTGCAGGCTAATGGCTTTGTTTCAATTAGGATAAAGATTACCCAAAAGCATTGAGTTCCTCAGACTAGTATTAAATGGGTAGTAGTAACACCTGAATATAACTTTGGCTGAGCCATAAAGCTTCCCATAGTCTCCCTGGTCTTACAGTAAGATTAAATTTAGGAGGAGGGGGATAGACAAGTGTGTCCAATATTGTCCAAAGTAGCAGGTACAATAAAATAGAGAAATAGTAAGAATAGAGGCCTGGTCCTGAGCATCGGGAGGAGCTCTCTGCCCCAGATGTCAGCGGCTTCTCTTCTTAGTCAATTTGATGGGGAGGTCTCCAGCCTTTGTACAGGACCAGATGTCAGGTGGAGATCTCTTCAGCTGTGAGACGTATCTCCAAGGTTCAAGGCCTTCTAGTTCTGCGGCAGGGTCACTGGTTAAGAGCACTTGGTAGGGTCCTGTCCAATGGAGCTCAAGGGTTGTCTTCTTCTCATGTCATTTCCAGAATACCCAATTACCAAGCTCTAGACTGTGACCAACAGGATCCTTTAAATTGGAATCTGGGAAAGCTTCTTTATCCCGTTGATGGGGTTGAGTATTAGAGATTAGAGACTTATAGTAGTTGGTCATGTTAGCATAAGACAACAAGGGATCAGCAGAAGGTTGTGTACCAACAACGATCTGTTGGTGACCATCCCACATGGGGTCAGTTCATCTTTTCCAAGGAGGGCACTGCGAGCAGTTGGTGAGACCAAAGGCAATAACTTAGGCCAGGGGAGTCCAGTCTACAGGTATATAAAAACCTCAAAGACAATTAACAGGCCTAGACTCCAACATCTACAAAGGGGCGACATAATTTTTCTCTCCACAATTACCTTGATTTTTGCCAAAGATAATCACAGTAAAACGAATTCATTGATATTAAAAACTTGGCCTGATTATTTATACAAGTGAAAATAAGAAGACTCACCGAGAGCTTCTGAATTCCCAAGGGATCAGGTAGGGAGAAAAAGTAAATGTTCCATCTTTGTTCACAAAGGTATATCTTACCAAATTGTTGATAACTTAAAAGATTTCTTAAAATCTGGAAAAACAAAATAGTAGAGCATCCTCCTTGGTTATGGAGTCCTATGTAATTAATACTTGATCTTGATCTTGTGTTAGCTGTTTTATGAAGCCATTGATTTCTCCGTTAGACTTCTGTAATTTCTTACCCAGTTCAGTTTTATGATCTGAAAGTTTATCAGAAACCTGATTTCTAGAGTGTCAGAGGTCTTGCCATGAATTTCTCTGAAGATGAAACACATCTGCAAAAACATCAGAGTAAAACAATCACTCTCTATAGATGACAAAAGATTTAACATTATAAGGCAATTCACAAGAAAATTTGGTTATTTCTGTGACAACATTTTAAGATAATAACTAGGATTATGATTGATAACCAGGACAGATCAGAATTTTAGGAATGTTATACAATTTTTAAAACACTTGCATTAATAACATTTATCCACACAACATAACCTAAGAAGATGTATCGTCACTTATTTGACAATGCTTCCCATATAATTTAACATGCCAAATAAGCCTAATTAGTTTAATATCTCCCTCTTTAGATGAGGAGAGAATAAATTCTTTGAGAGGTCCCATGTCCCACTGGAAATTCCCAAAGTTACTTTTAGGTCAAAAGAAAGAGTTAATTTGTGGTTTGAATTTGGGGAAGTTTGTCAAAAATATCAAAACGTTTAGAAACCTTGGTCAAATAGGATCAAAGGTCACTTTGAGGCAGTGTTTAGTTATCCATTTAGCCAAAGTGATGACAGAAGATATTAAAGGCAAACAGAGAAAGTTAAAGAGTTAAAAAAAACCCAGCAACCCTTAGTTCTCCTGATAGAGAGGTGTCAGCTCTTTGAACATAGGAGATTATTTTGAAAAACATAGAATTCCTGACTTTGAGGTAGACATTCAAAAGTAAGAAAATTCTTTTATAATGTCTTTACCAAGAGCAGACTAAAAGTTCAAGAAAATTAT